CCTTGCTTTGATATTTTTAGAATATGACCCTCCTTTCTTTCCTGCACTGAATTATTGTTGATAACAACATTATAGTTGCCATCAGGAAAGCTGTGGGAACAGAGGAGGTAGGTGTTTTCTAATCCCATCAAGGTTGGTTTGTGCGAGTTTGCTTTGTCTATATTAATCCCTAGTGAGTGAGGAGTTTGTGTTTATTCAAAGCATTTACAAATGCATTAACTGACACAAACTGATTTAAAGAGAAACTAAATGATAAGAAATGCCCTGATGTGTCTTTAGAGGGATCTAAATGCTTTCCAGAAAAAAAAAAGCATCCTACCACAGCAGGAAGTCACTTCTCCAAAAACGTAAGCACAACATATCAGCCAGATGTTCAGCTGATAATTTTATTTCAGCTAGGGATACACTAAGAATAGAATATTCTACATATAGCAGCAGTTTGCAGGAGGTTCATGAGTGGTGACAGGTTTGTGTGCGGGGACCTCTTCAGATGATTCATTTGTCATTTTACTTCAGGGCTTCTTTTGGGCGCCATCCAAGCATGAGGGACCGAGCCACACTCTCTGGCTCGCAAAGTTGTTTATGTGCAAGTGGGTATGGACAAGATGTCCGTTCTTTAGTGTGTTTATTGTACCATTACTTGTGCCTCTGTACCCTGGCAGCCCTATTTTTCCACGCTGTCTCCCACGTACATAAAAGCAACCATTTTGTCTTAAACAAAGTTGTTCCTTTGTTGCAAATGACACGCTGTAATGCCCTGAATCATTAGCTTCCTTAGCAATGTGCCTCCTCTGGCACCCACTGCTCAGATTTGGACAGATCTATTATGTGCTATGGCAGGCTGTGTGTGGTTAATAGTCTCCGGCCGATGCTGCTGTTTCCTGACTCCCCAAAAAAACACTGTGGACAAAAATACAGAAGCGAGGCGGCTTCTCTAATGGCTGAACATCAGCTTTGTGTTTCCCCCTGTCATTTAACTTAGGGAAGTTCTCAGAATAGTCGGCTTTATTTGGAAATGGAGTGTCCCTGCAGATTTGTTTGTTGTGGAGACAGTGTGTGTGTGTGTGTGTGTGTGTGAATGTGCCAATATAGCAATGAAAAATACATCAGTGAAGACCTAATACACATTCAGCTATTTATTTTCAAGCATTAAGAAGATGCTTTACTCAGGGTGCCATAAATGCTGACGTGAACCACATCACTATCAACACTGAACCACGTCACTATCACACTTCTGACCTACAGCACAGCCCTTCCCCCACACCTTCATGGATCAGAGCTCCCACAATATAATACTTTTAATATATGATATAATATCCCAACTCCTCCACCATATCAAAGACAAGAACACATCCCACGATTTGTAACTGCAGTAGGATCCTAGTTTTCTTCTGTCATGCTATTACAAGTGTCTTATTTAAAGAATCCATACATTAATCAAGTGTTTATGTGTAAACACTTTCATTTATATGTGTTCCTCCTTTAACCTGGCAGCTTGGTCAAATTACTGACTCGGTGACTGATGCTTCCTTGTTGGACGCTTAATTGAATGGGCTTAGGGCACGGACAGATTGCACAGGCTCAGATTAGTCTGCCTTGATCGATGGGGACACAGACCATTGGTTGTCAGGCATGAGAAAACAACTGCTGGCATTTATTTACAGCATTCATTTGTTTTAACAAATAAAGTTCTACAAACCAAGCAAAGGGAACAATCCCCACACCATAACTGGAGTTTTGTTCTGTGTCAAAAAATAAATATTTGGACACTGAAGATGAAGCATCCTACTTGTGATAGCGATGTTGTGTGTACATGCTACCTTACTGATTCAGTCAAACAAATACTGTGCTTCACTTTCAAAGTGTTTGCTTCAGATCATTTGGCTGTTTTCTTTCACCTACAGTCCATCAGTGGTAGAAGAAGTACTCAGATTCCTTACTTAAGTAAAGGTATCATTACAACAGTGTAAAAATGCATATGATATTATGGGATTCTAATTACTGATGCATTATTCTGTTCATCACATTTAATGTTGCAATTTGTAAAAGGTGGAGCTATTTTAACTGGCTTACTGTATGTGCTTACAGTGCCTTGCGAAAGTATTCGGCCCCCTTGAACTTTGCGACCTTTTGCCACATTTCAGGCTTCAAACATAAAGATATAAAACTGTAATTTTTTGTGAAGAATCAACAACAAGTGGGACACAATCATGAAGTGGAACGAAATTTATTGGATATTTCAAACGTTTTTAACAAATAAAAAACTGAAAAATCGGGCATGCAAATTTATTCAGCCCCCTTAAGTTAATACTTTGTAGCGCCACCTTTTGCTGCGATTACAGCTGTAAGTCGCTTGGGGTATGTCTCTATCAGTTTTGCACATCGAGAGACTGAAATTTTTGCCCATGCCTCCTTGCAAAACAGCTCGAGCTCAGTGAGGTTGGATAGAGAGCGTTTGTGAACAGCAGTTTTCCACAGATTCTCGATTGGATTCAGGTCTGGACTTTGACTTGGCCATTCTAACACCTGGATATGTTTATTTGTGAACCATTCCATTGTAGATTTTGCTTTATGTTTTGGATCATTGTCTTGTTGGAAGACAAATCTCCGTCCCAGTCTCAGGTCTGTTGCAGACTCCATCAGGTTTCCTTCCAGAATGGTCCTGTATGTGGCTCCATCCATCTTCCCATCAATTTTAACCATCTTCCCTGCCCCTGCTGAAGAAAAGCAGGCCCAAACCATGATGATGCCACCACCATGTTTGACAGTGGGGATGGTGTGTTCAGGGTGATGAGCTGTGTTGCTTTTACGCCAAACATAACGTTTTGCATTGTTGCCAAAAAGTTCGATTTTGGTTTCATCTGACCAGAGCACCTTCTTCCACATGTTTGGTGTGTCTCCCAGGTGGCTTGTGGCAAACTTTAAACGACACTTTTTATGGATATCTTTAAGAAATGGCTTTCTTCTTGCCACTCTTCCATAAAGGCCAGATTTGTGCAGTATACGACTGATTGTTGTCCTATGGACAGAGTCTCCCACCTCAGCTGTAGATCTCTGCAGTTCATCCAGAGTGATCATGGGCCTCTTGGCTGCATCTCTGATCAGTCTTCTCCTTGTATGAGCTGAAAGTTTAGAGGGACGGCCAGGTCTTGGTAGATTTGCAGTGGTCTGATACTCCTTCCATTTCAATATTATCACTTGCACAGTGCTCCTTGGGATGTTTAAAGCTTGGGAAATCTTTTTGTATCCAAATCCGGCTTTAAACTTCTCCACAACAGTATCTCGGACCTGCCTGGTGTGTTCCTTGTTCTTCATGATGCTCTCTGCGCTTTAAACGGACCTCTGAGACTATCACAGTGCAGGTGCATTTATACGGAGACTTGATTACACACAGGTGGATTCTATTTATCATCATTAGTCATTTAGGTCAACATTGGATCATTCAGAGATCCTCACTGAACTTCTGGAGAGAGTTTGCTGCACTGAAAGTAAAGGGGCTGAATAATTTTGCACGCCCAATTATTCAGTTTTTTATTTGTTAAAAAAGTTTGAAATATCCAATAAATTTCGTTCCACTTCATGATTGTGTCCCACTTGTTGTTGATTCTTCACAAAAAATTACAGTTTTATATCTTTATGTTTGAAGCCTGAAATGTGGCAAAAGGTCGCAAAGTTCAAGGGGACCGAATACTTTCGCAAGGTACTGTATAATCTGAATTACTGCTGGCTAGCTTGTGAATTTTCCATCCAAGGCCAGTAAAATTTCATGATTATGCTGTAATCTTTGTATTAATCTGCTTCTAAAAGGTAATTAGTAACTAAAGTACTGTTTTTTGCCTCTAAAATGTAGTGGAGTACTATATTTGATCTAAAATACTGTGAAATCAAAGTATGAAGTAACAGATAATGAAATACTGAGGTGAAGTGCGGATATATCAGAACTGTACCTAACTAAATATACTTAGTTACTTTCCACCAATGCAGTCCATGTGTATGCCAGTGAGGGAAGACGCCAGTGGAGGCTGGAAGCAGAACAATCTGGTCTTGTTGCTGTTTTCAGTGTTAAGTCATTCAAAGTTTGTGCCACATGACTTCCCCTCTCAGTTGGACTTGATGCAGCACAAATTGCAAAACTAGATGTGAGGTGGTGGGCTGATGCTGTGAGTCGAGGGTGGCAAAGAGTCTGATGACTTTGTTTATCTTCCATTAGAGTCAGAAGTGCTCTATTACATGGTCGTAGATCAGCTGGATGTAAATGAACTCTTATAAAGAATACATGTCATTGTGCAGTTATATGCACAGTAAGGAGGGAAGGAAAGAGAGTGTATGTGTGTGAAGCCAACTTGAGAAACAAAATACAACTTTGGTGCTTATGAGTATGGTTGTCTGAATTTTGTGGGGTAACTATAATCATAAAAAGCTTGAGGACTGACGTTCTCCCTGCTGTAATAAAACGCTGAAGGCTCTGAGTATGAAGAAGCAAGTGAGAAATGAGAGGGGAGAAAGAAAGGGCAACACTTGTCAAAATGTAGTGGGCCAAACTTCCCACACTGCTGCAGTACAAACAGTAATTAGATTATTTTTTGCCCTCTATAGAGGGCCTCTGTTCTTCCAGAGAAGGTGGGATTCATGTTGATAGACTAAATCAACTTTCCTCCCCTTGTACTCGTTGAATTCTGATTTATGATTGCAGGTGTGATAAAGGTGACCCTCACATTCAGTAATTTTTCTCTCGTAAGAAGCAAGAAGTCATTGTTGTTATTAGACCCTGCAATTGCAATGAATTGCTTTTTGCCTACTTTGTTTGTGCCATTAAAAGCAACATCGCTGCATGCTGTTCAATGTCAGTATTTCGAGTTATAATTGGTCAACAATGAAGATTTTGGCTTTGTTTAGGTAGAACATCTTTGGGAGCCCATGGAGAAAGTCTCGTAATGCAATCACATCAGACTGATGACTTAACAGTGGTTTTGTTAGTCATTTTCTGTTTTTCCTCATAGGAACCTGGGGAAATCTGGGTTACGTGTCTCCTGTCTGGGGCTCGGTGAGTACATGTAATTAGCAAATGTCTAATGATTTCATAATAATCCAAGTGCAAACTCGGCTCATCTGTGCGCATAGAGAGAATGTAGAGCCAACAAAAGAGCCAAGCCAAAGGGGATAGCTTTTTAAATGTTATTATATCAGTTCATCCTACTCTAAACCTCATACATCATTAATACTGTACATACAATATGGAATGTTATAAAATATAACGCTAAGCTGCAGAACATTTGTTCCCTGTTTAATATTTAATCAATAGCAGTAGTTACAGGAATCAAGTTGCTGAGTTATCACACATCTCCAGTGCACACCAATGGGTAAATACTCACATTTGCTTGGTTGGACTGATTCATTCAATAAATCTCGTGTGTGTGTGTGTGTGTGTGTGTGTGTGTGTGTGTGTGTGTGTGTGTGTGTGTGTGTGTGTGGGCCATATCTTTACTGTTTGTGTGCAGGAGTATATGTGCTGTGGCCAAGTTGCCTGATGGGGGCGTGTCTCTGAAGACAAAATCACTTGACAAAAAACAGAAACAATACAATGCTGCACAGGCCCATAGCAAATAGTGAGGCACTAATGATTGAAAATCTGTGAATGAGTTAGTTAATTGTCTCTGTCACATATATAAGAACATTGATCAGCAAGTAGGAAGAGTAAAGAGGAGACCATTCTTCACCTTAGAGTAATTTGATTCAAGCACTGATATTGGCAAGCGTTAGCCATGCAGTTGTGCCTTGAGGCAAACCATTGATTTCTTGCTGTGCCAGTTTTCAATAGTCAAAACTATTGACTGTATATATATGGGCGATGCATCACCACTTCTCTCCACTATGCAAAATGAAGCAAAAATTTTGTGAATACAGTGGCTGCCATTTTGATATTTTGCATCCAGATTCTGCGTAGTTGCAGCTGAGTAGCTGATTGAAGTATCAGGCCATCAATCAAAGCTGTCAAATCATCCAAAATGCACCCTTTTTATGTCAGAAAACAGTTTATTAAAAACAACCTTACCCGAACTTATCACTTTTACACACATCAGCAAGATATCTACCAAAAAAAACACAGAAATCACCTCTGTGAAAAATATATTTAATTTGTAATGTTAGTTTTTGTATGGCTCATGTTCCATACAGTGACATGGAGGGGGCAGGATTTATAGTTTATACTGCAAGCAGCAACCAGGGGGCGATCGACTCACAGTGGCTTCACTTCTGGGAGCTGTCATGGCATCCATATTTTGTACATTCAATGATCAAAACAGGTTGCTTTAGCATTAGATTGTACATGGGTTTCTGTGTTATAACATTTTAACCACATAGTCACATTTTAAAGAAATTCTTTGACAGTTTGAATAAAACATATTCATTTCCTTCAGAGTTAAAAGAAGAGGAGTGATGCCACTGTCACATCAATGTACTAAGCAGGAGCTATCACTAGCAGCCAGTTCACTAGCTTAGCAGAAAGAACCAGCTAGCCTAACCCTGTCCAAAACAAAATCTGCCCTCTAGCACCTCTAAAGCTCATCTGTTAACACATTATTTCTCACCAGTTTGATCCTGGGTTGCATGCATTAAAAAAAACTATGTAGCAGAAACTAACTGAAATGAAGCAGATAATTGAATTACCAGCTTAGAAAAATTAGCCTGAGCCTACACCAGTCTGTTTTCACTTCTGCTGCAGTTGGCTGCAGATATAACAACAGCTTATGCATTATTTCGTATTGGTTTGAGATAACAACAAGCTGTGACAGGCTTAGGCAGCAGAAGGTAGGGAGGAGAATATACAAGTTCTAAGAAAAAACTGTATTCAGTCTATGACGCTGTTTGGTGAAAAGGCTGGAACTGTTTCTTACAGCTGTCCAGTCTGTCAGTGCATGTATGGATTTGTTTGTGTGTGGATACTGTAAGATGACTTCACATGACCTGAGACTAAACTTGATTCATGATACATAGGTGTTCATTTATAGCTTCAACTCTACTATTACCTATCACGCTTCTTTTAACTTGTGACAGATGGCAGGTGCTGGATATTTGCACAAAACCCTTTGCAGCTAGAAGGAAAGAATGAGGAAAAAAGAGTAAGTCAAAGGATTAAACATACTGTACTTCCATAAGAGTACTTCAGAAATGCAGTTTTAACATGTTGAGGGGAAAACCTCATATGAATCCAAGTGCCTGTCAGAAGAGACCTCCACAGGACAAAGTCTTATTTATTTACTCTAGCAATACATTGATTCCTTCCAATAGATGTCCTCGAAACAGAGGAGTTCACTCAAAACTGGTCAATTTAGCATTTGTTTCAAAATGAGTTTCTCTGTTTCACTGCCTCAAATGTATAGTCACTTCCCAAATGGGCAGCTGATACAATATAATCCAGACTAAAGAAATGAGTAAGACCAATAAAAAAAACATACCAAGAAAGCATAGGACTAACCAAGACACACAGTGATAGTAGAGATTATAAATGTCCAACAGTCATTAACTCACCTGTGAAAGACCTGTACACATTAAGTCCTCAGATGGTCCAAATCTATAATAGTAGGTTTATGCAATGTTTCAAGAATTTTCAGTTAAACTTTTTCCCCCTCGTCACAGAATATGTGAAATGAGTGCATTTGAGAATTGTGGCAGAATATAAAGGAAGACAGATTTGTCTACTGCACTAACTAACCCATTTACTGAAGAAAAGAATGCTTAAGCCAAGTAATAAAACATGCTTTCAAACTAAACTGAATTTCCCCTATGATGGAGCTCCTGCCATGTTAAAATAAAATTTAGGCAATAAATAATAAAACCTGAACATGACACAGAGTAGCTGTCATCAGAAAAGACAAATTCTTTTGTTTGCTCTTGCTGCTGTGCAGGTTAATAATGGATGGTCGTGATGCGGATCTAGGAAGTATGATAGCTCTGCCAACAAGATTTATATATCAACATAATGTAAGAACCTCTTCACAGGACCAAACACCTAAAGCTGCTATGTTTAGAATTAAACAAAATTCCCCAAGCAGTTATATATCAATATAAAATAAGCATAACTGAACCAGTTCCCTCCAGGACTGTGCTTGTCTACATGCAAAATCTTGCTACAGCTTTGAACATAAGACACAGATTTGCCATTAAGCCTGTTCTCCCCATACTCAACCCTGACATTTAGCTGGTGCGGCTTTAAGACGAGCGTTCTGTCATTTATCCATGCCAAAATGTCAAGGTAATTATAAATGCACAACTAAAATGACTTGTGAGAGCGGTTTCACAAGGAAAGGGTCTGATGTGTTTTATGTTTGTTCAAAAACTCTGACTGCAACGTTTCCTTCAACAGGCACATGGGTTACATTTGGAGGTCAGATCTCTGATGAGGTAAGATATGTCAAATCCATCATCCAGCTCATCAGCAGATGTTGGCTTTCATTATTATAGAGCCCAACAATACAACTAGATACTTTATAACCAACACAGGAGCTATTTAGTGTAATTGAATGTAAAATTGTGTGAGTGTGAGTCGATCATTGAAATCATTCCAGTATTAATTTCCCAATATCACACCAGACTGTTAAGTCCTTGTTGGCTCTCCCAAGGCCAAGTGGCCAGGTCTTCTTCCAACCTGTCACAAGTTATTAACCAGAAAACCTCCTCCAGCGCCTTGAACCAGAAACACTTACAGTAACCGGGGATGGCTCACCCCTGCCTGATGGCCACAGGGATTAAGTGACACACACACACAGCAATAAGAAAAAAATCACCAAAACAAAAGAGTAGGTGAGCACAGAAAGAGAAAATCGTCATGACGAATTGGCCTTTCTATGTACAGCTCTGAACAAACTGCTGCAGGCACAAGAACTAGGTCAAAACAGTCTGGGAAATGTATTGAGCAGTAAACAACTTTAATCAACCTGTACAGTTTCAGGGTGATTTGTACCTCGGTGGCAACGCATCACATATTAGCTGTGTTTTATACGTCACTGAAGTTCATGAGTGGAAACCCTTTTTTTGCCTTTGTCAGGTGGCAGAGCAGCTGATGACTATTGCCTATGAGGGTGGGGTCAATCTGTTTGACACAGCAGAGGTCTACTCCGGGGGAAAGTGAGTAACATCGCTGGTTTGTTGTCTATCTCACTTCAACAGAGCACTGGTCTTGTCAGATTGTTTCCCCATAGGACATGAGATCTTAACAAGGTTTTGCCCCAGACCAGGAAATATTCACCTGAGGAAGCTAAAAATGAAAGCTAGCCATGACTCCAAAGTGATTTACATAATCTTATTCATCACTGGAGGCTCCTCATTACATTCACAGCCCAATCTACTGTAACTATATAGGCCGAGACATTATTCTGTGAGTAATGTGGGACACATTTTACCTGCATTGGGATACATATTAATTTCAAGGTTACTGGTGAAGTTCAAGCACAAAATACAGGAGGTGTTTATCTTTTATCTTGTTCTCCTTTTGATTTTTAATCCAGTATTCATGCTGTAGATGTGTGGCAGATAATAGTCATGATAATATGCTCTTAGAGAAATGACAGTATGAGATGTAATCATCATCATCTCACTTGTTTTTTCTTTTCAGAGCAGAGATAATCCTGGGAAATATCATCAAGAAAAAGTGCTGGAGGTAAAGTATTGTTTTTAGTGAAAGTGAAAGACTCTACATGTGTTAGGTTTAAATTGTGCATGTGCATATGGTATAGACTACATGATGTATCTAATTTCATTCATATGTCATTGCTGAACATTACATTCCAAACCCATTTGCATTAATACGATACCATAACTGCCTCCTCTCTTCTCCATGAGACTTTGGAGCCTACCCTGAAGGATTTGTTGCCCTTCAACATGAGCATTAATGAGGTCGGATACAAATGCTGAGTGATAACGCTTGGTTCACAGCTGGTATACTGATTTATCCTTGATAAGGTATTAGGTCAGGGCTCTCTGTAAGACTGTCTGGTTCTTTCATCCAGAAAACCAAATATTTATGGGCCATACTTTTTGTATGGGGATACTGTCATGTTGGAACAGGAGAGCTGCTGCACAGTATTGTCTAACACAGCTGTTCCAGTTCTTTTTTAGCTCATGTGATCCCACATCACAGGCACTAACCTTAGTCTTGGCAAGAGGTATGAAGGTTTTGTTCACCTGAAAGTGTTTTACAGGGTAAAAGTATCCAGTATAAAAAAAAAATAAAAGCAAAATATTAGATAAAAAGTTTTTAAAAAGCTAAGAGCCTACTGCCATGCTAGCAACTCTGTGAGGCTTTATCAAAATATACTAACTAAAAGCCAAAAACATCAACCTGCTGGAGGCAAAATCAGGTGGTCACAAGCGTAATTACCACTTATACTCTGGGGACCATGAAAATGAAGTTGTTGAGACCAGTCTGGACCAAAGGGGTATACCAAACGACACATCTATGTCTCCATCTATGGAACCATGCTGCTAGCATGGCTGAAAATGAACAGAATGTTTTTCTTATTCCTTTAATTAACTTGTGATCCCTCATTTATGTTAGAACCTCTTGAAGGGTCCTAAACTGAGATTGGGAGCCACTGGTAAAAACATTTCTGTGTGCTACAGCATTAAAATTGGACATTTCTGCTTTGAAGTAGACATACAAGTGAGCTGTGGTGAAATAAGGTGACCTAAGGTGCAGAATGTGCATCCATCTGCCCACATAATTGATTCATTATCTAAAATTGAAATATATATATTTTTTGATCATGCATGCCTGTGGCTCACAGCTGAGTCAGCAAGCAGGTGGCAGTGAGTGTGAGCACCACAGAAAATAATATGTTTGTATCAGTGCTGCATGCACTGGCACACTGCAGTCATGAGGCTCAGTATGTGTATCATCCTCAGCAACTCATGCCACCTCTGTCTGCCTTCACCTCAAGTCTGGATCCATCTCAATTATTAATCAATTTTACTGTGAGGGAGTTGTCTTGTTCGAGCACAGAAAAGGAGTCACTCTGATTCTTTGTACTAGATAAGTAGCACGTTTGATAAAGGAACGCAGCCGAGCTGCCACTTCACACTGCAGGAGAAGGTCAATGGAGGACATTTCTATCATCATAAACAAAATCAAACATGGTAGACACATTTGCAAACGTACTCACAAACACCCACACACTGATATGCTGACATGCATACATCTTTTTGAGAACTCTTTTAAAGTCCTTGTACATGGCCTTTTGAAGTGTCTCCCTGTCTTCCAATAGGAGATCCAGCCTGGTGATCACCACAAAGCTTTACTGGGGAGGAAAGTAAGTGTGTGTATGTGCCCAGAGTTCTCATTCTCAGATGTTTGGGCTAACTCACACGCACACAGACACAGCCCCCAGTCACTTCTCACCCTTCCTCAGGCCTTTTTGCCAAACTGCTAAGAGTCATATTTCTCCAGTCACGCTGAAGTATTCTGGTCTCAATCTGCATTAGTCCATTCTCTCTGTCTCACCAAAGTCCAGATGCTCCTAGTGAGGGAGGTAGAAGCTCTACCACTACATCCACATCCTTCTTCTTGTGCTCGTTTTGTGTAGATATCTGAGGTAAATCATTAGAATAGGATAGTTGTGTACACTGGTGAAAGGAACTACGTACATTACTTAAGTACAATTTTGAGGTATCTGTACTTGAGTGACATGGAACTACTGAGGAGAGACAGCATGCCTTTGTGTGTGTAATACATTACTGTTGCCCAAAGCAGGCTAGAACTCCTGAGGAAGAAGGTGCAGAAAGAGAAAGTGTGGAATGAAGCAAAGAAATGAAAAATAACAGGCAACTGAGCAAAAAGAAAAGGTAGGAATAAAGTGGAAAAGGAAAACACAGGGACAGGAAGTCTGAAGGTGGCTGTGAAGGTGAGGCCATGGACAAATCACTCAAGCACAGTATGTTCATTTTGCAGATGTTTTGGTTCTTACAGCCCACGTTTTCACTTGTTCTGGATTACTTTCACCAGAGTCAGAGTCATTTTCTTGAGGGCAGATTTTGTTTTGGACAAACTGACAGTCATGCTTTAGCAGCTAAATAGCCAGATATTTGTCTCAGCAGCTGGTAGGAGAGCAGAACAGAGCTAACATAAGAGCAAATATTGCACTTAGATTTATTCAGGCAGCCAGACATGCAACACCAGATAAATGCTAATATTCAAAATAGCAACTTGATACAGTGATACTAATTTTGTGTTTATAGCTTATTGCATTTGCTCAACAAGGCCAGATAATCAACAAATGCAGTTTAAAGTTTATGTAAAAAAATACCACAATAGCCTACTGCATTATAAGTCCCGCATTCAAAAGTGAACTTTATTTAAAACACAGATATATTAGCTACATAATGTGAATAAGCATCAAAAGTAGTGAATGTGTCTCTTCAGAGTTCTATGAATTTGTCATTACTCAGATTAGTCAGATAAAGAACAAGTACATCAAAACATTACTTCAATAAATGTACATTATGTTCCAGCTTTTTAAATTATAGTACTGTATTTTCTTTGAAACAATATGTCTATGTAACCTTCTTATACAAGCTCTCATTTTTCAACCAAGTGGTTGTCCAGTTTTGGCACAGATATACAGTATTTTCAGCTGCACATCACCAACGCTAACTGGGTGGCCACACAGTGACAATACTGTAAGCCAGCTGTGACCTCTGAGATCTTTGACATATAGTTGTGGGAACACTGTGGAGCATCCAGTGGGTGTGTTTCTCTTCACTGATTTGTAGGTACTTTGTTATGCAGTGTCTTGTTTGGCATGTTTAATAATCTGCCTCAATTCCCGAGAGCTGTGCATATACAATGTGTGCATGAATGTGTATCAAGACTCTTGACATGCACTTCTTTCCCTCCTGTTGCAGAGCAGAGACAGAAAGAGGCCTCAACCGAAAACACATCATCGAAGGTAACAGGTCGATGTCTCCTCCACTTTGTCCTTCACGTTACCACATCACTCAGAGCCCACTGCATTCATCTAATCTCTTTCTTTTATCTCCTCTCTTCACCCTTTCTTCTCATCCAAGTATCTTCTGTCCTCTTTGATTTTTCTCAGTATGGGCACTCAGCTGAATTCAAAAGTTGTATTAGCCAGTGGTGCATAAAACCATGATAGATGTTTTGTCTACATGCTCATAGTTGTAACAGTTGTACCACAGAGCTGCCAAAAACTTTGAACTATCCTCTGCTCCACTCTTTTAGACATTTATATTGACGTCTTTACTGCTCCTCTTGTCTGTTCTATGATTTTTCACATCTTCTACATTTTCAAGTCTT